ATTTTTACATATAATTTTTTCTTTATTTTATTAATAAAATATATTTTAAAAATATTTTTTTTCTTAAATCATCAGAATCATCCAATACAGCCACTTCAGCCAGAACTTCATAAATTTCAGCAGAACCAGCCAAATGAGCCGATTTTCGTGCTACCAAACGGGCTCTTAAGGCCCCCCTCCACTTATTTCTAACTTTTAGCTTTAAAGTGCTTAATTTAAATAAAAGTTTTCGAATTGTTTAATAAGCAGAAAACGTAAGGTTAAAGTTACTTTTCTGGATGTATTGGCTGAAGTTACTGTAGATGACCACCTTAGCTATTTTTACATATAATTTTTTCTTTATTTTCTTAATAAAATATATTTTAAAAATATTTTTTTCCTAAATCATCAGAATCAGCCAATGCAGCCACTTCAGCCAGAACTTCATAAATTTCAGCAGAATCAACCAAATCAGCCGATTTTCGTGCTACCAAACGGGCTCTTAAGGCCCCCCTCCACTTGCTTCCAATTTTTAGCTTTAAAGTGCTTAATTTAAAAAAAAGTTTTCACTTGAAAAAACTCATTTTAGCCCTTTTTAAGCCAAAAGATGAAAAAGTGCGTGTTTGGTAAAAAAGTTGGTTGATAAGGATGATAAACTAAAATTATGAGTTACCAAACGGGGTCAAAATTAATTATAAGTTTGTTTCCACATACTTGTTTGTTTTTACACCTATAATGCTAATTTAATCCCTATTCAATTATATATATTGTCAAATTGTTTGTGGTATTGGAACCATGTGTTTGGAGAATGGTTCTCCTTATGTTATTGATATGTCAATGAACGTCTATTTTGTGGTGAAACACTTTGCTATTTTTGTTATTGGCTATGAAATAATGTTAATCGCTAATGTTAGTTTGATCTTTTTCTTTGTCATTGTTGCTCTTAGATGATACACTCAGAACGGTGCAATAATTTATTTTATTTATGACATGACTACTTTGTTTTGAATTGTAATTTGAAATAAAAGTCCACCTCATAGTCTCATACACTCATATATGTAACTTTTTTATGTATATATTTGACTTTTTTATTTATCCACTTTTTTTAAAACTTTGCGTTATTTCTATTGTTCTTGAATGGCTATAGTTCTCATGCATCCATAGTAATACGTACTTCCAAACTCTTAAGAGATTGTTAAAGTCAAAATCTTGACACCCAGATATAAATCCACTCCGTTGAAAAGTTAAATTCACCTCCTTTAGTACTAGAATTTTAGACTATAATACTCTTTCATCCTCTGCAGTTAGTGTCATTCTTACCATTCGAAACCCCTGACCTTAAGTACCACATTTAGTTTCATTGTTTAGCCGTCAATTCTTTGATTTAGTGATTTGAATTAGAGGTGATAATTAACCCTTGTCTTTATACGAGACGAGTTAGTAGTTATTTGTTCTGTCTGATTCAAATAGTTTGGTTTCAATACTTAGAAAGTTTATAGTAATAATTTTAGTGATAACTAAAAAACAGATTTATAAACGTATTGGGCATTTGCTCAATCGCGCAACGCGCGACACAAACACTAGTCTATAAATAAACAAAGCAAATCAGTTTGGGATATGTAAAACAATTATACATTAATCATATTTCCTTATTGAATTAGAGTTGCAATTTGATATAAATGAACTCAAAAATATATTCTAATAGAGTAATAGTGTAATGTTAAAACAACTTGAAACTAAAAACTAAAATATTCTGATGACATTTCATACATACAACTCACTGATGTTAGGCTTCTCAATTCTGTGAGGAGTTTTGTCAAACACATTGTATGCAAACAAGAATATTGAGTTGCTTCATATTTGTTTCACAAACTACTTAATATATATCGAGCATGAGTTTCATCACACACATTCATATGTAGAAATGCACTCAGATGTTTACTAAGTAACCAAAATCAGTTTCTATGATCATATATACTTTGGGATGTAAAACACAAATCAAATCTAAATATTATAGAAAATAAGAGATAATATTGATGAAAACTGAAAAAACAATGAAGTGGTGGACTAAGTACTTACTGGAGTTGTACGTGGGCGGCTAGATAAGAGAACGAAAGAAGCGACGGAGTACAGGGACGGGGTGCTGCAACGGACTCAATCAATTGAACTGTTGAGGGGTGCCATGGACTAAATCGATCAAACTCGGGTGACGGAGTATGTGCTCTAGATTTGGACGAAGAATCAGCCGGTTGAGAAGGATATTAGCGAGAGTATGGCAGCGATCGGAAGAAATTAACGATGGAAATCGATAGGAAGGTAGCTAGGGTTAGTTTGTGCGGCGGCTCTAGCTCTGGAAGAAGGCATACATGGATCGATGGAATTTTCCTTTTGTGGGATACGATAGGTTAGCTAAGTGTGAAAAAAACAAGTGTTAAAATTAGCTAAGTTAAAAAATGTTAAAGCACACACCGGCCTACCCAGCCCATTAAGTGTCACTATTAGGCAATGATGTTTTTTTGTTAGAAATTAGTGACACTTCTATGTCATTGGTAGTATTCTGTCAGAAAAGTGTCACTACGAAAGTGTCACTGTAAGCCTATTTTTTACTAGTGCGTCTTTAAGAAAATGAAAACGCTGAGAAGATAAACTTTTGGTAAGAATATCTGCCAATTGAAGCTAAGTCGGAACATATTCAACCACCAAGTCACCATGCGACACCCGTTCCCTCACAAAGTGATAATCAATACGAATGTGCTTGCTTCGAGCACATTTAATAGGATTAGCGGTTAAATAAGATGCAGAAATACTATCACATTTAAGCTTGATAGGTGCACGGACTGGGAAGCCGAGCTCAAATAAAACAGACCTGATATGCAATGTGTCCTGAACAGTATAAGCAATCGCCCTGTATTCAGCTTCAGTGGGGGATTTGGAGACTGCGAGTTGCTTCTTGGACCGCCAAGACACCAAATTAGGTTCCATAAATATGGCATAACCGATGGTAGAGCGGCTACTATCTGGACAACCAGCCCAGTCTGCATCTGAATAGGCTATGACTATCGTCGGGTCCTTCGTAGGGCGAAGTAAAAGACCGTGATCTTATGTCCCCTGAAAGTACCTGAAAATATGTTTAACTGCCAAAAAATGTGAAGTGCGGGGGGCATGCATAAAATGTGAAACTAAGTGTACCGCATATGTAATATCTGGACGCGTCATAGTCAAATATTGTAAAGCACCAACCATGCTACGATACTCTATAGGATCTGCTAAAGGTTCCCCATCAGTGAGGTATAAGGTGGTACGAGAAAGGAGAGGAGTGCGAACTGGTTTGAGGGTATGAAGATGAAATTGTTTAAGAAGAGCAGTAACATATTTACGTTGGGAGAGGAAAAGACCATGAGAAGTGTGGAAAGACTGAATGCCAAGGAAATCGTGTAACCGACCCAGATTCTTCATAGCAAAAACCTGAGCTAGAGTAGCTAAGAACTTATTAATAAAAGACTGAGAATTACCGGTAATTATAATGTCATCCACATAGACAAGAAGATAAACAATGTATTGACCCTGACGAAAAATAAAAAGAGAGTTATCTGACCTGCTACATAAGAATCCAGAACTTAATAAGAAGCTGCTGAAACGACGAAACCAAGCTCGAGAGACCATAAATTGCCTTACGCAGGCGACATTACATAATGGGGAAATTGAGGGTAAATAAAACCAGGAGGCTGACGCATGTACACTTTCTTAGTTAGATGACCGTGCAGAAATGCATTCTTGACATCTAGCTAACGAATAACCCATCCAAAAGAAACAGTAATGGTGAGAACAATACGAACAGTAGTGGGTTTAACAACTGGGCTAAAAGTGAGAGAAATCAACACCAGTTTGCTGGTTAAAACCTTGTGCAACTAAAACGAGACTTATGACGCTCGATAGACCCATCAGAAAGGCACAGTTTTATAAATCCATTTACACCCAACCAATTAAATTCTTGGAAGGATTAATTGGCATTAAGTCCCATGTATGATTAGTGATGAGTGCGTTAAATTCTTCTGTCATGGTCTCACGCCATTATATTTTAAATCTTTATTTTCTTGAGAAAAACAAGTAGGATCAGGCGCAGTAATAACCGTATTAAGATTAAAAATTGTTTTTAGTTTGAAAATACCATATTTAGCGCGAGCATGCATAGGATGAATATTCTGACACGGCGGGGAAGGGGAGGCCGTCACAATAGAGGAAGGGTTGGGTGACACTAGGAGAGGCCGATACACTAGGTTTGCTGACTAATCGAGACGTAGACTGAAAAGAGGGAGAGGCCGAAGCTGACAGAGGGTCACAAGAGGAGGGAGCGGGCGAAGAGGGTTCTATGGGAGAGGTGTCAGGTGTGTACAGGTGGAGGAGACGCGGGCAGTGAGGGTGGAGAGGGGGCGTCTGAGAAAGAAATGGGCAGTGGTGACGTCGGGAACTGCCTATAATAGAACAAATATAGGTCGTTGCGTGCGAATCCCGAGTCAATCAAAAAGAAGGAAAATGAAGTGTGAATGGAAGTGCGGGAAAAAGTATATGTATAGGGAAAAAGAAGCAAACGAGACTAAAACACAAACATGATCAAGAGTCTATGCTAAAGAAGCTGAGCTAAACTACGAAATAAAGATGCAAAGGGGTGTCGGGAGCATGTTTGGAACTCACATTGCAATTGAAGGTTGGACAAAATAGTATTAGAACTTTATTGCAAGAAAGAGCATGCACAAAGGTTCCTCCGCCACTCTCGTGGTCGTAGGATCGGTCAATAAACGGTGTTGACCACTCTCATGGTCCGAAACCGCCTACCGACACCAACAACAATAATAATCCAAAGCAAAGGGGCCCCGTTGGCCCGCCACTCTCATGGTCGTGCCTAGGTGTGTGTGAAAGGAGGCAAATGAATATTCGATTCTCATCTAAATATTCCCAAATAATTAAATACAAGATTTCAAAATTGTATTAATTAAAGTCATTGAAGCATTTTCACAAACACATTTCAAGCAATAAAATTCAATACTAGTCACCCAAAAATTCAATCACATAAAGAAGCTCCAAACTGCCCCCTAACCATCTAACTACTCATGCATTGTAAATAAAATAAATACATAAACATAAAAGTGCAAAAATAAAACTAAAGACTAAAACATAAATTTAAATAAAGTAATAAGTGTAAAATACCCCTAAAAGATGAGAAGCAATCCATTGAAGTGCAAGTAGAAAACTTGAATCTTGGAGATAAATCTCTACAAATCTACACTAAAATCTAGAGAGCTAAAATGCAAAACCCTAACTAAAATGTGAAAACTATCTAAAATGTGTCTAGAGGGGCTTCCTTCCAAACTGATCAGCAAGGCTTGTATTTAGTCTTAAAATCGGGCTGAGCAAAAGACTACTAAGGGCAGCATTTTCCAGAAATTAAAAAAAGGCTAGCGGGGGCATGTCTGTCATTTCGTCTAAAATCAGACGAGGGATTGAGGGCAGCAGCTGGACAACCTTTCCTCTCCTTCGTAGTTCTTACGCAGCAGCAGATCTCCCTGGTCTTCATCTTCACACAAGCAGCACTCCAGGGTTGCAATCGTCGGTCTCAGATCCGGATTCTAGGCTCGCCGGCGATAGGTCAGTTGGAAAAGATGGTTCGCAGATCTTGTTTCTTCATCGTAGATCTCCGGTGCTGATATCTCTCCCCTTCTCTGTTAATCTGGGGCGGACGGATTCCGGCGTGGCTAGGAGGCGGTGTAGGCTCGGACTCCGGAGACTGGGGCTGTTACTCTTCCTCTCTGACTTGCCGCTAAATTTCCAGCGGATTGCTCGCGGCGATAGTTCCCTGCTTGTTGCTGCCTGATTTGAGAAATTGACCGGAAGGGATTGACTAGTTTGACTCCGGATTGACTTTTGTATTCTCGGTCTTCCACTTATGCCTCGGGATGCTAAAAGATGTCTAAAACCCGTGAAAAACAATAAAAACGTTAATAGCACCCGCTAACAAAATAAATCCGAGAATACAAACATTTAAAGCACAATTATACCCGAAAACCAGTCAAATGTGATACTAAAGTGAATGGATAAAATATAGAAAATGGAAATTATCAGGCAGTGAGGGAGGAGAGGGGAGAGAAAGTGGGTGCAGGGAAGAGTTGGACAACAGGCAGAAATCTTGGGTGGGTGATTCGGATGGGCAGGACACGGAGGCAAGGGAGGGATTGGAATACTCAGTTTCATGAAACCGAACGTGTCGACTAACATAAATACATCTGGTTTTAGGGTCATAGATGTTCGCAGACTTTACGAACATTGATAAGTTATTCCGGTAGTTTGCTTTGGATTTTTCTATCATAGACGATGCATTCTTGAACTTTAGTCTCCGCCGGCGAGCTCTTTGAGCTAGGATTGTTCACTTCTGGCAACTCTGGCAAACAGTATGTCGGGATATGGTACAAGAAAATAAAACAAAGAACAATCGTTTGGATCGCAAATAGCTTAATTCTTATTTTCAATTTACATAACTCACAGCTTCATATGGTGTGAGTATTCTTGCCGAGCCAATTCAGCCAAATAATTGAAGAAGCCTTATTCTCAAAGCACACAACGCCAATTGGGAGCATAAAGGTGATGTTATTGCTGCAATAAGGCACTTGCTCAATACATCAGTTCCCTTTTGAATTAATTTTTGTTCTTCCTTTCTTTTGTATTGTTGTAAGTCTTAGTGTGAACCAACAGTTAGAGCCAGTGGAGGACCTAGGGGGCCTACCGGGGCAAGTGCCCCGACTTCCGGCCAAGAATTTCACTACTAATACTTAGGGTAAAATAGGTGCCCCTGCTTCTGGCCAAAAAATTCAGTACTACTACTTCGGGTAAAATTAATGCCCCAACCCGTACAAAAAATTATTAGTATTAGATAATCAAGATACTAAAATGTTACGGTTATATAAATTAGGAACATGAGTTTGGATAACTTTGTAATTCGGACTAAGAGGTCTTTAACTCGAAGGGATAGTTCTTCGAACGTTCCTAATCAGTCTATCTCAAGCAATGCAAATGTTGTTGCTTTGAATGTAAGCATTGTCCGAGATGAGTCTAACGACACCAGGGGAGACAAAAGAGCCCGCACAGATAGTACGTGTGAGTAGGATATCATTAGCGATCCCGCATTACGAAAGCCAATCATTGAATACGAGCTTCGAGTAAGAGATGACGTGATGAGTGTGTATGTCGTTAAAGGCGCTTGTCAACCGTTGTCTCATGATTTTCCACAAACTTTATTTGGGAAAAAATGAGATGTTTTCGAGCAGAGTGGTTTAAAAATTGGGAATGGTTGGAATATAATATTTCTAAAGATGCTACATTTTGCTTTTGGTGTTACCTTTTCCATAGGGTAGAAGGGAAGAGATTTGGAGATGATGTATTTGTGAGGATCGGGTTTAGCATGTCTTGATCTTAGATATATGTTCTGCAATTTCTGTGAGTCAAAGCTACTGAACCTCACGGAATTATATTCATGCGATTTTTCATCTGTTGATCGAATAGAGCTGAAAGAGTAACTCCAGGTGTGGATATATGAAATGAGAACAAATGAATTATTTTCTGCCGTACAGACTATTGGTGAATTTTGCAAAAAGATGATTGAGCTTAAAGTTCACAATTCTTTTCACTTGGTATATCGTCTGATTGAGTTGACTTTAGTATTACGAGTTGCAACAACCACCGTTGAAAGAGTCTTCTCTGCGATGAATATTATCAAGACAGATCTTCGCAATAAGATGGGAGATGATTATCTTACAAATTTACCAACATTTTCAGAATATGAAAACTCGTAGGCTTGATTTACCAAAGTTGCAGAAATGAACTATTTCATATGTAATTAACTACTCTGTATAATAACCAAGCATTCCAGCCCAGCTGGTTGCGAGGTTACCATGCCAAGTGGGAGGTCTCGAGTTCGAATCCCGCTAGGCACAAAAGGGTTTGAAATTCAATGGAGTCATTTCAGCCCTGATTACTCCAGGCTCCCCCCAGACCCCCTCCCCCAGATCCCCTGGAGTAAAAAAAAAAACTACTCCGTATAATTTATGCTATTGCCTTACTTTTTACCATCTTTATTACATTTGAAAATTTTATTATAGAGTAAGTTTAGTGTCTAATGTGCCTCTGCTCTGACAAATCTCTGGGTCCGCTACTGGTTAGAGCATTTCTTTTTTTAGGCTCTTAGCTTGTTCGAAATTACTTCCCTTCGAAGTAGATCTGATGGTCCTAAATTGAGAGTGCATGGTGGTGAAATTATGATGTATATATTCTGATTTTCTGCTGAAGATAATATTGCATCGATGAAAATTTGTCTACAAAAAAAAGAAGAAGCCTTCTTCTCTCTATTGAGATAGTTGAGACTCGAGAGTCTACGCTGTAGTAATTAATTTCAAGAGTGTTTTTAGTAACAAGGGCATAATAGGAATTATAAAATTATGTGTGTGTTTAGTAAAAGAGGGATTGTAAATAGAATTTTCCTATGATTAAAGCTGCAACTAACATATACTCCGTACAACTTACATATTTAATTTATAGCTTCCAAAAAAGGTGAAAATTCCTTCATTTGAATGGTATCAACCGATTCATTGTTGAGGTGTGGTAGGTATTGAGAAAATTATGCCACTAAGATTCACCGGTGCGGAAACCTGTCTAACATTTACTTCGTATAATATATTATGTACTTCTTCCATTCTTTTTTAGTTGTAACACTCAACATTTCACATCTGTCAACGCAAGTCTTTGACCATAATTATTTCTTAATCTCTATTAGTAAAAAATATTTAAAAATTAGATATTGAAAATTTGTAATGAGATGAATTGTATTGAACAATATTTAAAAAAAAATCATAAAATAATAACATAAAATGTAGTCAAAGTAGAACATGTGAATAGTGTAAAATTCAACATGTTGCGATTAAAAAGAGACGGATGATAGTATAATATATGTATCAATTATATAACTCTCATTTAAACTATCATTTAACTAAGCTACATTCAATTCGGGTATATTGTCTAATATGATCTACCATTTTCACTCTCTATGAAGTTAAATTTCGACCCCCTGAGTCATTTTTCTGGCTCCGCCCCTGACTCATATGTCTTATTTTGATGCCAAAAATGGAAGGTGCTATTGCTAGTTTTATTTCTAAACTCAAATTTGATTAATTCTAAATTCCTGTATTTTACCTTTCTACATGCACAGTTAAACTGGTTTCGTTACTTCTAAAGGAATTATGCATCGTTTTAATTTCTTTACGTTATTTTTTTCTTTTTTGAAATTATTTTTAATAATTTTTAACAGATAGCGCTTTCCTTTTTTATTTGTCCTGAAATATTCACTTTCAATTTAATAAATGAACATTTCCGGTTTCATTTATTTCTACTCTGCACAGAGTTTTTACTTTTCTAATTTCATTCTCAATATGAAGTTGGTAAAGTTAAATGGGACAGAGTAATATTTTATTTTATTTAAAGATTAATCAATTTGTATTTCAGTCCCTCTCGTAAGCAAGTCTGTTTTGACGGTGCAATGGGCTGCTTTCTCAAAAACTAGCGAAGAAACTCAAAAGATGTGGCATAGAATCATTCTCGTTTCTTGTAGTTTTTATAGTAACCTTTCTTGAAATAAGTCATAGTGACATGATAGGTTGAACTTAGTTCTGCTATGTATTTTTGAGTTTTAAATTTGGCTTCGTTTGATCAGTTTTCTTTTTAGAAATATAGAAGTTTGAATGCTGACTCTTTATGATGTAGTTGCATTTTTATATTCTTGTTTCATGGGAAATGTGTGTGGAAAGTTGAGGTATCTTTCGAGCACTCAAATCAGAAAACTCTCAGTTCACCACAACCTATTTAGGTTCATCAATACAAATGCACTTCGGATTTAGAAAGCCAGGGAGGATCTACGTGGGATATGATGATGGGCTGAAGCATAGATTAACTTAATCTTTTTTCAGTTTTGTAGTGTAATATTTTCCATTTTTCATACTTAGTGCACCCGCAATTGTTAGCGCACCTCGTTAATGTTTAAGTCTAGTATAATTGCTGCGGAACAAACCCTAGGAGAAGTGGCTGCCAACCCTGAGGATTCCATGATCTAGGCTGGTGTTTGAACCGGAGCGAGCTTGCGTAGGGGAAGGGGAATGCTGCCTCGTCGCTGCTTCGCTCTCTACCTAGCCGAAGTTTCATTGTGTGTTCGGTTTGTTTGTTCTCTTTGATTTTCAATCTGTTGGCTTTACGGTTGTTGTAGTCCGGCCGGCAGCCACTATTTGTTTGTCAAGGTTTTGTCTTACGTTCCTTGTGAACGGGTTTGGTCCTTTTTCTTCTGTTTGATTGCTTACATGAGAAGGATTAATCTTCTTGGCTTGAATCTATTAGCTGCGGTGTGGGTCTATGTTTTTTTGCACTAGTGTGTGTTAAGGATTTACGTACTATTTTAGTATTTTTACCCTCTATAATCTTAGTGGCTTTGTGAAAATTCTAGTTGAGGGTTGTAGGAGAATTGCTATTCGTTCCTGTGGAATGGCTATAGAGGAAGAAGAGGATTGGGGACTGGCTTTTTCCAGCGATGCTGTGGGAGAAGGAGACGAAGTGAAGGCGGTGCCACGTTTATTGACGTTGGCGCGCGAGCGTGGTGACAGACAAATCAATCCGTCCCATTACATTTCGGGCAACCATGGTGATGGTCTGGAGACCGGTCAAAGGTGTATCACTGTATCAATCGAGAAATTGGCGACTCAAAATTTATGTTACAGTTCTACCGTGAAGGGGATATGAATCGGGTACTTCGGGGTGGACCTTAGACCTTTGAACAAAATTTGGTGGTAATAAGGTGTTTAGGGCAGGCGGATAGACCACTTGAGATGGCATTGAACAGTGCTGATTTTTGGGTTTAGATACATAACCTACCTTTAGGCTTTATGACAGAGAAAGTTGCATGTGTGACATTCATGTAATTTCCATGTTTATATTTGTGTTTTTAATTAGTTTAGAGTGATTGTTACTTTGGAAATTACACACTTTTGGTGTAATAGTTTAGTTTGTAAATTGTTTAGATTAGGTTTATTCTGAGCTCAAACAGGTCCAAGATCACTCTAGGGACCATTGGTGAACATCACAAGTGGAAGGAAGGTGCAAAAATTCCAAGAAGAAATGAAGATCCTGATTTTTGGTATTGTACCCGGTCGAGTATGCCCTATACTCGATCGGGTAAGTCACTGAAAAATCAAATCGGATCAACCCGGGAACAAGGCAACATGTAGGGGAGATTTTGACCACAATCAAGTGTCCATACCCGATCGGGTGGCGGACATACCCGATCAGGTATACCCCAGTTTTTTACACTTCTGCGAAGCAACCGAGTACGCGATCGAGTGCCCTTACAGCCCGATCAGGTACACGACCCTGCAAGCCTAAAAAGCCTATAAATACACCTCATTTCCTCCACAATAAAGCACTTATTCCTATATACTTCTAAGCTCAGTTTAGATAAGTTATTTCTTTATATTTTCTTCATGTTTAGTCTCCAAATGAGGAGTTAAACTCTTCCATCTTGGTTTTGCTACTTTGAAGCTTAATGAATTGTAAGTTGTGAGTTATTTTCTTTAATCTTCTTCCTTGAATATTAATTAATTCCTATTCCTATTACATATTAATATTTTGAGCATTACTTAAAGGATCAACTAGTTTTGTTTCATATATTAATTAATACTAGAATCGATCGATTAATACGCTTGTTATTAATTCGGTCCTTTCACGGTAGGAAACTTGGGTTGTTAATGCATGCGTCTCATGGTTAATTAATAATCTAAGGGGAATTAATTATATTGATTAAACCGATAAACCGCTTGTGTTGAGGTTATCAATCTCAATCGTTTTCATCTCTATTTTATTGCTACTATCAAGTGAATATATGGCGCGTGTTCTATATTAACTCGGTAGTAAGTTTTATTAATGAACGCGTCTCGTTATTAATAACTACCCTCGATGAATTGGATATACTCCTCGATTGAGTATTCGAGAGGAAGATAGTTAAAGATATAACCGGGATCGACGAACATTTCATTAAGTGGATAAAAGCAAAGCCAAGTCCTCTTCTCATTAATTAAACCACATAAGTCGTTCATCTTTGTGTTTAAATACAATTTAAAATCATCAACCAAACATAAAACCCCCCTTGTTACTTATTTATTTCTATAAAAAGAGAAGTGTTCCTTTCCCTGTGGATACGAACCTTACTTCAATATACTACGTATATTTGTCGTATTGAATATTTATTTTGAGTGCACACCACGACAAAGTGCACGTCAACGTGGTATCGGGAACACAATTGGTTCGTTCATTGCAGTTCATGAGCGCACATTGGGAGGTGTTTGGAGATCCATCTTGTGAATTCAGGTGACCATCCATGAATATCAAGAAAGCAATAGTTCACAGACTACAGATAAGGAAGGAGGCCAGGGGGTAGCTGGTTCTGGGCAGAGTTCAAATATAAGCGTCTCTCAAAGTTCTGCTTCATTTGTGGAATTCTAGGACATGTTGATCGTCTTTGTCCATCTAATACTCACTCCGAATCTTGGACTAGAGAGAAGCCATATAGGGCTTGGATGCGTGTTGATACGAAGAGAGGAGAAGTGCATTGGGGCAATAAGGGGTTGATCCTTAGCGGAAGTGGGACCAACTCACGTGGTGAAGAGATTGAGAAGGTTATGGGAAAGAGCAGTGCAAGTTTTGAGGAGGCACACCGTTATATCATGGAACGATTGCTCCCTATAGGAGAAGGCATAGAGCTGATTTCCAAAAGAAAGAGCCCTGGAAGCGCAAAGTGATAGAACGAGATATCATAGAGGATACCCAAGCTAGCACGACGGTATATGAAGAAGATCCAAAAAAACGGACAGGTGGCAGTGCCTGGGGAAGACACCGCCTGTCATATTTACTGAAACCCTTCCAGATGAGAAGAGTTTGATGGTCAAGCAAGAAGAAAAACTTACTTTTGAGTAGTGAAAAAGTGATGGTTGACTCTATCAAGCCAGTGACGGGTGACCTCTGTGACAACGGAGATGGACCTTTGACGGGGGCTGGACAAACCGCACTTTCCTTGCCAATGGATGGAAAAACTAGATCTCGTTATTCTTATTTTTTCTCTTTTTTCCCGAACTGTACTCTTTAGTTACTTTTATCATTCATTCTAGTAGCAGGTGCAACATTAATTGTTGTTAGTGGAGTCTACCATCTTGTGGGGTTAGCGAGTTGGGTCGCATTTCAGCGATCTTCCAGCTCTGTGTCTCGTCCCAGTGTAGCCTTCAATGTGGCGACTTTGTATCTGGTCCTCGATTTTAATATGAATTAAGTTATCATTTGCCAAAAAAAAGTCTAGTAGAATTGTTCATATAGCTCCCTAACTTGATTCCAATTTACATATAGGTATATCGTGTTTGACAAAACACAAATCACACTACAAAAAAACACGGGATTGAGAAGGATTTTTGGCAGGGATTTCTCAAAATTGGCAGGGATTTTGGCAGAGATGTGTCAAATCTGTGCCAAAAACAGTTCGACATGAGTTATTTGGCACGAAATTTTCGGTAAATCCGTGTCAATCCCGTAATTTTTTGTAGTGTTACTTTTATTCTGATATGAAACAACAAATCTGATAAAAATATAGAATCACACTTACAATCAATTGAAGTGGTATCGAGAGGTGGACGAGCTATCAATACTGTTATAGACGATTTGAGAAAAAAGATGTCATCTTAGAAAAGCAAATTTGGTCTAGGACTAGAAGAGTGCCTTCAGTAACAATTAAACTATAGTATAACATTCTGTAATGTAGCAATTCACGCCCCTAATTTCAGTTGAAACCGCTCATAATAAAATGGGTTATAAAATTGATGTGATCGAGAATAAGAACCATAGACACACTAAGGAATAAATCACCGCTCACACGAGCTTCAAATAACTTGTTAGACCTTTTCTTAGCAACGAAGAAGATAACAAACAATATTTCTACTCATAGTAACTTTAATCACATATTTAATGAGTTTTGCTTGGATAATACTTCCTCCGTAACTTTAAAATGTTCCCATTTCAAAAGTAGGTAGATTAAGAATAGTGAAAGATGATATGAATTATTGAGGGTATGATGGGAAAATAGTGGAATAATGTGGTGGAATGTAGGATAGATCCAAAAAAAGTAGTTGTAATAGTGTATTATTTTAAGAATTATTGAGGGTATGATGGGAAGATTTAGAAATGAGAAGATCTTTTTGTTACGGACGAAAAAGGAAAGTGGGAAGATTTTTAAGTTACGGAGGGAGTATGTCGTACGATAGTATATTAGAAAATACCTCATATATTAATCAAGAGTGCTCTTCATGTCAGGCCGGCCTGACGGGCTGCCCCGTCCGGCCGAGCCCGTTTGGGCACCTTCCCGGTGGAATTTTTTGATGAAATTTTTTGAGCATGTTCTTCATCAAGTCTAGTTTGTCCATACCAAATTTCAGCTCAAAATTCGATCGGGAAGGTCGTCAAATGATTTTTGCAAGTTAACTGGTCCGGAAAATACATATTCAGGACCAGTTAACTTGCAAAAATCATTTGACGACCTTCCCGATGGAATTTTGAGCTGAAATTTGGTATGGACAAACTAGACTTGATGAGGAACATGCTCAAAAAATTTCATCAAAAAATTCCACCGGGAAGGTGCCCAAACGGGCTCGGCCGGACGGGGCAGCCCGTCAGGCCGGCCTGACATGAACATTCCTCTATTAATCAAAATATGAAAATGTGTCAAATAATAAAGAATATCATAAAGAGCAATGCGTGATGTGTCAACTATGGTAGAACAGTGAAAATATGTAAGATGGAGCATTGAATTATATCTAAATGTAGAAGTAGTAATGGACATTATTGTAATGGTGACAACTCCAATACTCATTTAAAAATGGGGGCATCGTACATCTCATTCACTTGATTAGTCTACATCACTATATCATTTTTAATTTAAATTTAAATAATTCAACTGCAACATTCTCATTGGTCTATGTGGACAAAGGTATGGTACCTTATGAGTACCATAGAATCTACCTAGTGTAATATTCACAATTTCAAATAATTAACAGGTGTTTAATAAAAAGATACTATCATATGAGTTATGAGCAGACGAGTGAGCGAACGTACATGAAACTGTAAAACGAGTGATCACAAAGCAAAAATGTGACATTATTTTTGATCGGATTACAGTAATACTACGTGTATTACACAATGAAGGTAAGAAAAATGAACTCTGTGGGCAATTTTAGCTTTTACCTATATCTAACTCTGTTTTTCTCTAATAAATCTCTAGATAAAGTACGTTTTTGAAAAATAATGGAGATGTGAGTTATATCTTGCCAAAAGTTTGGAAAGATTGCTGATGTATTTACTAATACGGAGTGGGGTATACATAAGTGTAATTATCAAATTTGTAAATCTCTAGCAAAATCGAAATGTTTAATTCGATGATTACATTTGTTAGAAAATTAGAACCAACCATCTTCCTCACATCACAAAATGCTGCACGCATTAGCATTCTCATCACTCCACAACTGAGAAGCATAAGGATAATTACAGGGGCATGGGCCGTGATGCACAAACCCCATTTCCCCAGCATTTTTGTTGCCTTCACCTCCGCCCTTCTTCTCCCCTCCGCCGCCGGCAGCATCCTTCTTGTCACCGCCGCCGCCGCCTTTCTCCTTCTTCGGCGGCACAATCTCCACATTTCTCTTCATTTGCTTCTTCAAATCATCCGCCAGAGCCTTCGCGTCCACGATTCCGGTCACCATCAACTGGTCCTTCTCCCTCTCAACGGACATCTCCATGTACCCTGCAAAGCCGTTTCGATCTACTAACTCAGTTAATCACTTCGAATGAGTTCATTATTATACAGATTTATCTGGCTAGCTTTATCTCATTCTGGCCAGGTAATCAGGTTATATATGATCGGATTACCTTTGGTTTTGCTAACAATTTTGTAAATCTTGTGTAGACATCCATCGCAATGAAGGTTCATTTTCAAAGTTGTCGTCGTCACCACCTGCCAGAATTTTCCCCAAACAATACCAGCAAAAATGTAAATAAACATCTATTTCGCTTAAAGCTAATCATAAAAAACTACAGAACAAATCGCCTGCGGTTTATTTCCACAATACAGTACTTCGTATTATAAAGCTCAAGATGAGAAACGTTGTATCCGGTTTTTTCGGGAAGAGATAAATGTAGATATTCGAAAACAAAAATCGAAAATCAAATCAAATCAGAGAAGAGCACTATGAAATTATGAATATGATCGATAAATCTGAATGCTAAAATGCAGGAGGAATGGAAACAGACAAAAACAGAGCATCTGCAGTACAGAGTGTGTGGGCGAAAAAAGCGACACGATGAAAGCAACCGCCGGTCGATCGTACTATTGATCGATCTGCTGCAAATAGTAGCAGGCCGGGGCTGACAGTGAATACTATATATGTGCAAAAAGTAACCGTGGTACCGTCTATACCTGCTTCTTCTTGTCATCACAGTTCCCGTCATTGTCACCATCTTCTCCTCCTCCTTTGGCTCCCTTGGGCTGTGGACAGACGAGAGCAATTTTTTGGTGTAGTTTGGCCTCCAGTTTATCTCTGAGCTTCGCCGGATCTACGCTGCCGATCACCGTCACCTTGCCGGCGTCACGATCGAAAGTCACATCGTCCACGCCTTTAGCAAGCAGCCCGACATGTAAGAAAAGTGAGAAGAAATTCAATAAACAAGCAGCCCGACGTGTAAGAAAAGTGAGAAGAAATTCAGTAAATCCAGTCGGAGCTCAGGTAAAGCACCGTGGATTTCATGGATTTAGATGATAAAATAGTCAAATGAGGACGGAAAATCAGAAGAAAGTAGTACCGTCATAGCTGGAGATAATGCTGGAGATCTTGGAAATGCAGCCGGAGCAATGCAAGTCCATCTTCAGAACAACATTACTGCTGCCGCCTCCACCTCCGCCGCCGCCATTTTCATCCTTCTGGTGGTCTCCTCCGCCTCCGCCTTTGTTCTTCTTCTGCAAACGGCACATGCATCATTATACGTATTACAATAATGAATAATCCCCAAAATAAAGCATAACCATTTTATATGAACGAAGATAGAGATGGAGAAGGGCTAAAGAGATCTTACCCCCATTATCGGATTCCTGCCTTAATCCTCAGATATTTGGAAGATTGTTGAAGGTTGAGAGTTTTGATATGATCAGTGGTGAACGAAGGAATGTGCGAGTATATAGGGCTCGGCTCTGGGCCGGGAGAAACAACAGAGGAGGTTACTTGTGGGCCTGCGATCAATCCACGATTCCACGCCCACCTTTTGTCTTTTTCGACTGTACTATTTAAAAGAATGAATTTTCCTATCTTTCTGTAAAGCAAAAAGAGAACATCAGCCCGAACCGGCAAGTTGACCCGGAAAGAGGCTACCTGCTTGAAATACTTGACCCGTTATTTCTAATTAATCCGTAAACAAGTTAAACCCCGTCCAAATCCGACCCTATTAAATTATAGTGAACGACATTTCAGGTAACGAATTTTTGATTAATTGTGATTATAGTGTCTAATATGTATACACCGTTCCAAATGTAGGTAAAAATTATTTAAACTGTGTATAAGGATTTTGAATAACCGTCCAATAATTGCTATTGTCTAGGTACCTCTAGTGTATTTTAAAACTTGTTAAAAACTACTATCGTATTTAGGAACAATGTTTTTGTTTTCTATGCTTATTATTACTATTATTATAATCAGTATTATACTACGGGGTATAATTATAAGTGAAGATTTTCTTTTCACAAATTTAATCTGATAATTATCTAATTATACATATTTTATTTACTAGTATTATTTCTTAGCATATTTTAATCGGGTGTATTATTAGTTGACCGGGCTGACTCTCTGTGTCCGAGTTGACCCGTGACCCACCCAATCGCCTTTTTGGATCACATTCCAATCCGATTTTGAGAATGCAGGTTTATATACTTGTTCATCAGTTACGCCAATCCAACCCAACCCGACCCGACCCGACCTGTAACGGGTTATGCTTTATGTGGGTTGGGTCGGACCAACCCGTTTAATGACGGACCAGAATTTCTTCAACCCTAACCCAACCCACCTAACCCGTGGATAAACGGGTTGGCCCGCGGGCCAATGTAAAAAAAATATATAACAAAAAAAAAACTTTAAAAATAATTACCCGGAAGTATATATTTATATTAGTAAGTAGTAACAAAGGAAATTTTGCCATTACGCTTGGTTCAATAAAAGATTGGATTTTCCAAAAAAAAGTAGTAACAAAGGAAATATAAGGAATCAAAATACTAAAAATTCAATACATGTTAAGTTTAATTAAAATATATTAAATACTAGTTATACGAGAATTTGAAAACTATAAGAGGGCATGCGACAAAAATACTCATTGTATAAAAATAAAGATCTACACAAACCTTATGATTGATTATTTGTAAATAATGACTACTAATTGTTAAATACTGTATCAAACTTCACATAAAATATACTTTTCAACATTTTATTTGAATATTTATTATAGAAATAAATATTGTTTTGTCATGGTTGTAATTTTTTAATTGTAATTATAATAATATTGATAGTTAAAGAACAATATTTATGATAATAAAATTCAAAACTATATTTTTATATTTTAGCCCGCGGGCCAACCCGCAACCCGGTGGGCCAACCCCCTTAAACCCGCAACCCGCATGGGTTGACCCGCGAAACCCACGAACTAAATGGGTCAGAAATTTTCAACTCTAACCCACCAATAAATGGTTTTAAACGGGCCAGCCCGCGGGTTCCGGCCCATTTGGACGGCTCTAGGGACATATTGAAATACAACCCCTTTCATATAATATTTACAAATATAATCACATATATGAAATTATTTGTAAATTTAGTCCTTATAGATTGTATCATTATTATATAATTTGGCGAACCATGATAATTGATAAATATATCTAAAATCACACTTCATCCCGTTTAGAGGTTCAATTCCCTCGGGGTTTATGGTGTTTGACTGGCAATAAAGTTAATTGATCAATGTCATTAATAAGATTAGTTTTAATAAGTAAAATTTACACTTTCAAGCTACATTAAAAGTTTTATAAATTCGCAAAAATAAAAATCAAATTTGATAAAAGTTGGATATATAAATTCAAGATTAAGAATCATTTACGTTGATCGGTGAATAGTGGACGGTAAAACTTTAAGTGAGATGGAGGTAGTATCACTTAACTATGAAGCATGATACAAATGTAGTCTTCAATTATGCAGCACGTTATAAATATAGTTCACGCGCTCAATAATGTAAGAACAAAGTTACTTAAACTACTAAGAATGTGAGTATGTGACTACGATTACAACATGTTACGGACTTAAGATTCGCAAAAATTAAATATAGAGACTGCATTTCACTATACTGAACAAATGAAGTACCAAAATTTCAAATTCCCGTAACAAAAGTTGACCGGAAGGGATTTTCCCTTACTTAATTACACTAGTCTCACTACAATTATTAAATAATCCTTCAGCTTTTTGAGAACATAAAAAATCTTTAACTGAGTTATACTTTTCATTAGGCTATGTTTTGTAGTGTATTCTGGATAGGTAGATATTGTTTGAAGCAGGATTTGACAGTGTCTAATCTAAAATGCAAGGTAAATTATAGAGGTAAAGAATTTAATGTGTTTGGAAAACATAAATCCGCATTAGAGATGAGAATGTTGTTGGACATGTTTATGGTGAAGCAGCAATTCCAGCAAAGACAAAGAAAGCAAAACGCTTCACTGATTCATACGAGGATATATTACTACTAGACTTGCGCAAAAACGGGCTCGGATCGAGCTTGGGTCAGAATTTTTCTACATTTTCAACCTATTGATGTGGGTCACTACTAGACTTGCGCAAAAACAAGCTCGGATCGATTTTGGGTCAGAATTTTTCTACATTTTCAACCTATTGATGTGGGTCCAGGCCACACCGCAAATGTATACAAGTATAAGAGTTTATATCAAAGGATCCAAAAGAAGATCTCTAAAACTTAAATAAAAGAACTTCCATTAATGAATATACACCACACAAAAACATGAGAATATAGGAGGTAAAATTGCAAGTAACCCATATAAGTAGTACTCTGCAAAGAAAGTTGGTGAGAATGAAAGAACCCTAGCCGAGCGCCGCCCTTCGGATCGATCGATCGTTGGAGGGCTGATTCCTGGCGTTTCTGATTTCATTTATCTTCGGCTTCAGGTTGCCTCTCATCGTTAGCTTTATTCTATTTAAGTTTCTTTGCCTTCTTTTTGTTTGAGTTGCTGTCACGAGTTTTGTGCTCGTTTTTCTGGTCCGGCACTTTGTTGCTGTGTGGACGATTTTAGCTTGGTTGCTGGTTCTTTGTTTGAAGGTGAATTGCCTTCCAGTTTCTGCTAGAAATCAAGTAGTGGGGTAAAGGCTTGAATTTGTTTTAGACATTGTGTAGAGGCTCCGGTGTTGGTTTCATTAGTTTGGTTGCTTCTGGTATATTGATTTATTAAATGTTGGTATCCACCATGGATACGCTTGTTGTGCCGTACAATAAAATCTCTATTGTTGAGGAGGAAAACAAGGGTTTTGTCTTGAAAGCAGACCCGGTCGGGGATAATGGAGAAGTTGAGGGGGGAATCTATTTCTTAGCGGTGGCAAGGGTGATTACAGATAAACCTGTCCGGCCAATTTCTTTTCGTGAAACTATGGACATGGTTTGGAGGCCGGTTCGGGGTGTCACTATTGAGGAGATTGGTACTGCTAAATTTCTTATCCAGTTTTATCATGAAGCAAACATTAATCGCGTAGTCGAGGAGGGTCCTTGGTCTTTTGACCAGAACTTAGTAGTGATTCGGCGCTTAGGGCGTACTGATACGCTTTCTGGATTGTCCTTGGATTGTGCAAATTTTTGGGTACAGGTTCAGAATTTACCTTTGGGGTATATGACGGCTAAAGCTGCCCGTGGAATTGGAAACACCATAGGGAAGTTTGTCATAGCAGATGAGCGTTCTCTTGGGGGTAAACACAGATTGATCTTGCACATAAGAGTTACAATTAATATTAATATATCTTTGTCTCGAAGATTGCAGGTTAGACAAGAAGGAGATAACTGGACATGGGCAGATTTTAGGCATGAGAGACTTCCTAAATTTTGTTATGTATGTGGTTTACTTGGCCATATTGACCGTTTTTGCCTATCTAATTTACACAACTGTCACTAAACTGGGGAGAAGCCATTTGGGTCATGGCTACGTGCTGATATGAGAAGATGTGGAGTGCATCCAGGGAACAGGTGGTTAATAACCAAGCAGGGAAAGGCGGAAAGTGTGTGCAACTCGAGAGGAGATATGGTAACCCTGGGTAGCTATGTGGTACAAGGCTTAACCTCCAATGGTGAGGAGGTAGCGCATCTTAAGGAAGACCACAAAAAATGTAAGGCGGTAGAAGTGGCCATTGAGGAGGACATCCAAGAAAACAGAGATGAAAAACTAGCAAGTAGAGAAGAAGTGGCGGTTGACTCAATTAAGCCAATGATGGGGGACCTCTATGACAAAGAAGATGAACCTTTGGCGGTGGTTGGACAAACCACACTTTCCTTACTAGTGGCTGGAAAAACTGGACCTCGTTTTTCTTATCAGTGCTCTTTTTTCCAGAACTCTTTAGTTACTTTTATCATTCATTCTAGTAGCAGGTGCAGCAGTGTTGTTAGTGGAGTCTACCATCTTGTGCGGTTAGCGAGTTGGGTCATTTTTCAGCGATCTTCCAACTCTATGTCTCATCCCAATGTAGCCTTTAATGTGGCGGCTTTGTATCTGGTTCTCAATTTTAATATGAATTAAGTTCGTTATCTGTTTTTTAAAAAAAATACACCACACAAAAACAACATTTTGGTCACGGATTTTGTCACAGATTTGTAAATAATTCCTTACAATAAGATTTATCACGATTTTTATCACGAAAAAATATGTGGCATCACAGGGGTGACTAAGTTTGTTTCGCAAAATAATCCGTGACAAAGATTTGTCACGAATTTGTGACGGATTACATCTTTGACAACGATCAAATTTTCGAATGGAACTAGCAGATTTTGTCACATATACAGATTTGTGACAATGATCTAATTTTTGAATTTGTCATGGAATACATCCCCGAGCCTAGGGCATTTTAATTTTTTGGATTTGTCACAAAACTGATGTGTGACAGAATTGTGCAAAATGCTTTTTAAAAATACCACAACTTTTTAGCGTAAATTATCTATGACAAAACATTTATTATTTTTATGAAAATAATTTTGTCGTGGACAATAACAGTGATAAATTAATTCAGTATTTAAAAGAATCCAGTATTTAAAAATTTATTTAATTCTACCTTTTTACAGTTTTACAATTTTTAGGATTCAAAGTGTATTCCCTCTACGGTCATATGTATGTTTTGACTTGACTGCAAAAGTTAAAGTCGTAGAGAAAACGAAGGTGATCAACTTTGCTTTCAGCAGCTATCTCAAAACATGTTTTGTTTTACGAGCTATGCTTGAGATTAAGCAAACTGAAATACATACATAGTGGCAGGTTGCTGCTGTGTTCTTTTAAAGAACCAGTTTGACTCTTTTGTGCGTACTTTTATTTTGTTTCTTTTTGTACATCTTCTTCTTTTCTCTTTGTAGTACTCTTTCTTCTTTTGTTTTCTTTGATCTTTTGAGTACTTTTCTTTTGATGATTTGGATACAGTAAGAAAACAGTTATTAAAATCCAAGTTCTCAAAGTGAAATATAGTTGCATCATCAAAATCTAATCTAAGGGGACCTTACAAAGTAGGAAATAAAGCTGAAAGCAAAAGAAATAAAGCTGCTAACTTGTGCCACCTATCTTCAGTGTTCTCGGTGTGCCTATTGTCCAGAGATAGCTCCAGCCCCATTATTTTTTACACATATGGTTTCAACCTTCATCATTGTATGTGCGCCCATATCAATCTCCTCTCCCACGCGACGTTGTTTTTGCTCGGCACACTGTTTTCCTTCCTTCTGCATCCTTGGATCCTTAGTCTGACATGCAAAAGTATCAAAACCTGATCACATATCCACTATCTCCCTCACCAGAGTGGATACCTCCAATCCCATATCATGATAAAACCTCTCTTTATTTCATTTCTCTATCACAAGCCACTCATTGTCACCACCTATACTACTACTTCCATTGCCTGCTCGCAGCCACGAAATGGACTCCTTCACTTGTTCCGCATTTGATTGCGCTAGAACCAGAGGTCATAACTTATCTTTGTGGCCGATAATACCACAAACAAAGCAGAAATTAGGCAGTTTTTCATATCTAATATATACCCTCAAACAATTCCCATACATTATTTTTTTGAACTCTCAAATTTTTCCTAAGAGGTTTCCTAATATCAAGGCAAACCCAGGTCATCAAGTAAGCCCTCCAACGTCCCTCAAATTGATTATCATCAAGCTTGACAAAACTTTCAAGATTATTGCCAATAATTTTTACAACTCTTGAAGTCAAGTAATCTAGTGGCAAATTATGCACTTGAGCTCAAAATTCCAAGAGATGTAATGGAATATTCAGAGGCAAATCATCAGAGTTTAATTCATGCAAATTAACCCAACAAGGTTATGACCATAAATCCATGTATCATATTTTATGACACGTCCCATATCAGCTTTTTGAAAGAAAGAAAAGAGATACTTTTTATCGCCGATCTCTTTAGTTGATACTCCTCTGCTAGGTCTCCAAATCGAGATCATTGTATCCCTAAATGGCGATTTGCGCGTATAGTTAAACAACTCATATTTCAACTATGATCACTATGAATTAAGTCAAATTGGTAATTGATTTATGAGAAAATAGTCCTAAGTAGGACTCGACTAATCCCTAATTGCGCAAATAGGACTATGTTAATTATTTTTCAAAAATAGGACTAAAATATACCCTATGTTCCTATTCCACCCTTACCATAACTTAATACGGAGTAGGATAATAATATTTTAATTTGTAACAACAAAAAGAATAATAAAATATATTTGAACTTATAAAAAAATATTTTAAAAAATATGATATATATTTTTAAAAAATATTAAAATAATAAAAATTCAAACAATTTAAAAATTTTGAAAAAATAAAAAAAACCTTGAAAATGAATAAAAATTCGGTGAAACACATTAAAAAATATGAAATAAATATGGAAGCCTTTCCCGCAACCTCACCCACCTCCTAGCAATGTCACCTCCAAACAATTTCATTTAGAAGCTATCGAGAGAATGAGAGTAGTGTCTCAACAAATATTTAATCTTTCAAAACAGCTTTCAAACAGTGATCAAACATACAACTTAAAGATTTTTTGACATTTTATGATACAGAAATCTAAGTCATCGAAGGAGTGTTTGCATTTACTTCTAGATGTTACTTCCTTCAACTCATCGAGATTGTCCCATTTTTCCCTTGATATGTACCATTAAAATTACCTCATATCAAATTAGGTGATATTTATGTGGTTCTAAACGGTATTACTTTATTCTTAGCTTACCAATAATTCGAACAACCTAAATTCAATTGTCTTAATAAAGACATCATCATGTATCTAACTTAGGGGGGACAAATGATGTATGTGATAAATTTTTAATAGTAAAAATAAATTAGTTTTTAAAGATACTCCCTCCATCTCACTAAGATTTTCCTTATCTTTTCTTTTTTGTCGTCACATTAAGATATAATGCTTTCGTATTAAATTTGGTAATGCTTGAATGATTTGACATCATTTTTACTTTATTCTCATTTTATGAGTTCAATATCAATCACAAAAACTCATTTTTTCTTGATAATCACACTATCTTCTCTTGTATAAAACTTAACGAGACAAAAGAAGTAAATGATTTTGAAAAAAGTAAAAATCAAAGCGTGTAATGATTTTTTTCATGAAACAGAAAAATGGAAAACAATTTAAATCACATTCTTCTTGCTTCTAACTTTAGATAATTAATTTAAGAAGAAGCATTTGTTTGATAGCATCACTTTTACAATTTTTACAATAAAAAGGTGAAAATGTTTTTGTTTTAGTTTTTAGAAAAACTCATCAAATTATATGACTACTAAATTTAAATTAACCAAAGTAGGGAGTACTATATTAGAGCATCTTCAATGCTACAATGTGCACGGTGCACATGCAACATGGGAGATAACCACATAAATATTAGCAAATAAATTATTTCTCTCTTTATTTGAATGATTTTATACAATTTTGGTAAGGTTTTCTCCACAATGTCAAGAAAACCGTCTAGTTGTTGACATTGTGGTTGACATTGCCGAGAAAAACATATCAAAATTATATAAAATCATTCAAATGTGGAGAGTGATAATTTATTTGCTCATATTTATGTGGCTATCCCTTGTACGACATATGCACTGTGCACATCGTAGCATTGGAGATGGTGTTAGGGCATCCACATTCATGCTTCTAACATAATCTGATTTTTTGTGATTCTTACTAATGGTTGCCCTAGAAACCAACTGAGTCCCAAGCGAGGTAAAAGTGTGTGTGGGGGGGGGGGTGAATAGACTTTTAAATCCTTTTATTTTTCAACCCTTTTTCCTCTAACAAAATGAGTTCCAATATCTTTTGAGAAATATTGAAACATGCAACGGAAATCTTGACCTCAAGAGTGTGACACTTTATAGAAACAAAGGTTATGGCCCTTTTAGTTGTGATGGGATGGATGAAACCTTGTGCAAATGTATTTGCCAGAAACAGATGACTCAAGGAGTAGGCTGCCGAAATCTGAAGGAGATGGCTGCCAGACAGTTTCGAGCTGGATGCCAAATCCTCTAGGAGTAGGCTGCTGATTTTAAGGTTCTGCTTCAATTAGTTAAAATACAACAATGAACTATACTCTAACATATTGATAGGCTTTAGAACTAGCTAGTCTTAACACATATGTATAAAGGATTTACACCTATAAAAATAGATCACTTTGATGATCAGAAAACAAGGAGTTGACTCACAATGAACTGGAGTTTGATCTACTTGCTTTGTTCCACTTGACTGAGGCAGCATGGTTGATCAGCATGGTTTGATTCCCTTCTATTCCGATCCACTTGACTCCTCTTGTTTTACCACTCTTGGTATTCCCGCACTCCTGTATTTATAGACTTGATCATTAAATCTCCATCATTGGCTGAGGAAGTCTTGACTGTAGTTTGATATACTTGCTTTGTTCCACTTGACTGAGGCAGCATGGTTGGTATTTGTCTTGTAGTGACACAGATCAATAATCTTCAGCTCAACTTGTTTCCACATTTCAATGCAAAGATAAAGATGATTTATCTTTATTCTTTTATGCGTATAGATGTAGTATAAAAGCTGAATGATGTTTCAATGCTTCCATACAAATAACAAATACTTGCTTTTAGTAAAATAAATTTATAAGAAATTTATAATGTGATAAAATCTCTTATAAATTTACTTTTCAACAATTTGTTATTTTGACTACAAGTTGGTCTTTTGTTTAATTGTTTTTGTGCTAAGAGAAGAGTGAGTGTATTTCGGATGAGTGAAATGGAAAACCAGTTTTCAGCTGGCTGCCAAGCATTTCAGCTGGCTGCTGAATTCTGGTGATTTAGTTCACTTTTTCCACAATGAATACCAATTGCCCCTCTCTTTTGCGTACATTTTCTTTTTGATTCTTTTCTTTTTGTTTTATAGTACGTTTCTTCTATTTTAAGTACTCTTTGCTTTTCTTGAGTACTTTACCACTAATTTTGGAGCACATTACAATAAACAAAGTAGAACAAAACTAGAGAATCTAGTGTAATACAGGATAAATAAAAAGATGTGGCATCATCAAAACTATTACATTTAATCATCAAAATCTAGGGAACCTAACACTTACCTTTTAATATTTACCACATAAATGTTTTAGAAATAATCGCATGCCCTCCGAATTACCCTCAATCATCGTTCCGAAATAATCTGATCTTTTGTGGGTCCTATATTAACTAATTAACTCTAATTTCATAAATAATCTCAAAATAATCTGGTTTCATAGTTTGATCTCAGATTATTCTATCAATTAATTTCGTCCAATAATCTCTCTCACTCAACCATGCTCCGTGAAATAATCCGCAATGTCACTAGAATAATCGCCTAATAATCTCATGTATGTAACCAATCATTTCAGTCCAGCTGATTGTGAGGCTACCGTGTCTAGTAAGAGGTCTCGAGTTCAAAATCCGCTAAGTACATAAGGGTTCGAAACTCAATAGAGTAATGCTGATTGCTCGAGGCTTTCTCCTCCCAATCCCCTTGAGTGAAAAAAAAATGTCATGGATGGTCATACCCTCCCTCCGTAAGCACGAACTTTCAAACTAAATATTTCTTGTGAAAGCAAAAAGTAGTACTCCACAATCTACGCAGTTGACAATTGGGTATTACCAAAAGGAAATAAAGTCCCCAACAAAAGGAATCAAGGAAAAACAAAACACAAAGAGAATTTCCTCTTCTATCATTTTGCTGTGTATTACCGTATTCAAAAACGCTTGGGCAGGCGAAGGTTGGTTGAAGATCGAGGGGACGAACGAGCAGTTGAATCTCTATATGCAGAAACATCACACCAAATACTGGTTGCTGTAGTTATTTTATTAGTTCATAGCGTAGATTTGGAGTTGGAAGTGAAGTAGAAACAGAGCTAAGAAACTAGTTTTTGTTATTTTTTGCTCGGAGAAGAACTAGCGAAGACCTGATCATTTGCTTTCTCCCCACAGAAATTCATTTTCCGGTATCAGATTTCTCAGGTACTTATCGCCATTTTTCTTCTCTAACCCTGTCTTTACATATGATTCATAAATGTAGGGAGAAAAGAATTGACCTAGTTGTTTTCCTGAACTGTTGAATTGGTATAAGAATTTTAGACATACCCTGTAAACTTGTTGTTAGTATTCTTCTAAATCCAATGGTAATTGTTTAAGAAAGAATGGAGGAAGATTGGTCTATTTACTCACATAGTCCAGCACATTTGGCTGTGGCTAGAAGAGACTACGCTGCTTTAAACAGGATTATTGCTTCATTGCCCCGTCTGGCCAAGGCTGGGGAGGTGAAAACAGAGGAGGATTCTCTGGCTGCTGAAAAAGAAGCTGATGCCCTTTCTTCAGTGATTGACAGTAGAGATGTCCCGGGTCGGGAAACCCCTCTCCACCTAGCCGTCAAATTAAGAGACCCAAATTCGGTCGAGATTCTAATGTCTGCCGGGGCCAACTGGAGTCTCCAAAACGGTCAAGGGTGGAGTGCCCTACAGGAGGCTGTGTGTTTAAAGGAGGAGAAAATAGCCATCATCATTGCCAGATATTATCAACCCTTCGCCTGGGCCAAGTGGTGTAGAAGGCTCCCTATGATTTTGGCAACCACTTCACGGATCCGTGATTTTTACATGGAGATCACCTTCCATTTTGAGAGCTCCGTGATACCCTTCATTGGTAGAGTTGCCCCATCCGACACCTACCGAATTTGGAAACGGGGAACCAATCTCCGTGCTGATATGACCTTAGCTGGATTTGACGGGTTTCGGATCCAACGGTCGGATCAAACCTTTCTTTTCCTCGGTGATGGGTATTCATCAAAAGATATATCTTTGCCTGCGGGATCGTTGGTAGTTCTCTCCCATAAGGGGAAAGTAATAAAGAATGCTTTTGAAGGTGCTGGAATCCAGCCCACAGAAGATGAAGTTGCCCATGAAGTGTCTTTGATGTCCCAAACTAATATGTACAGGCCAGGTATAGACGTGACCCAAGCTGAATTGGTCCCTCTTTTGAATTGGAGGCGTCAAGAGAGGACCGAAATGGTTGGTGAATGGAAAGCAAGGGTTTATGATATGCTTAACGTGATGATTAGTGTGAAGTCAAGGAGGGTCCCGGGTGCAATGACAGACGAGGAGCTATTTTCTCAAGAGCAAGCAGGAGACGTTCATTATTGCGAAAATGACCTCACGGCTGAGGAAAGGATGCAGTTAGATTCTGCACTTAAGGGTAGCCATTTTGACAAGCTTGCTGATAGTGAGGAATCCAATGGTATTGCTAAAGAAAAGAAAAGTTGGTTTGGTTCGACTAAAAAAAATTCAAAGAACGGGGAAAACCATAATTTATTACCATCAGGTGTTTCTAAGGAGGGTAGTGGCGAAGTAAAAAAAGGGAAGGATAAAAACGGGAAAAAGAAGAAGCAAGGGACAACAAGTGAGTCAAAGAATGAGAGCGAGTATAAGAAGGGATTAAGACCTGTTCTATGTTTGACACCGGATTTTCCATTGAAGACTGAAGAATTACTGCCGTTACTTGATATATTAGCCAACAAGGTAAAAGCTGTTAGGAGAATAAGGGAGCTTTTGACCACAAAGCTTCCCAATGGTATGTTTCCTGTAAAGGTATATTTTTTTTTTTATTTCTATCATTCACCACATGTTTTTATATATCGTTCTTTTATTGCTTCTCCAACAAGTAAAATTTATATATTATCTGGTAAGTTAATATCAAACATATAATTGTTTTTTCTTTCTTCCTTCTAAATGTTATGAAATGCTGGGCACCTGCATAAGCTGGTAAAAACCTAGTCAATAAGGCTAGATTTGGATCCCAAAAGTTCTAAAGAAAGGAAAACAATTGCGAAGGGAAGTTATATGGAGTGTTTAGCTTTACTTTGAAAATGTAAAGGAAAATGAAGTGTGATTAATTCTTTTTATATATGTTTCACACATATTTAGATTTCTTTGTGTTTATTTAATAGAAATAACTAAGAGTTTGAAGTTTGAACTAATGTAAAAAAATATTCCCTTTCATGTTTCGTCCATGTTCTCTTTACCTAGCAGATTCCAAGATCGAAACTTTCCCTAAGAAATCTACTTTGTATGTGAAAAACTGAAAATCTATTTCATACTTGGCATCGTTTTGTCCGTTTCAAACAAATTTTTAAAGTTTAAAGAATCCAGCAAGATAAGAAAATAATGTCCATCAAAGTATGTTTTCGGAAACAAATTGGTCCTTGCAGCCTTATAGGTGATTGCAAATCTTGTTAAGTAATGATGAAATGATGATTATTGCATTGCAGCTTTCCATCCCTCTAGTTCCAACTATTCGTGTTGTGGTCACATTTACAAAATTCGAGGAACTTCCTCTATTGGAAGAGTTTTCAACTCCCCTCTCCAGCCCCACCCATTTCCAAGATGCCAAATCTAAAGAATCAGAGACTTTAAACTCCTCATGGATTTCATCATGGGTGAGAGGGAGTAGTGGCCAACAATCTATTGACAGTGAAAGTTGTGAGGAGATTGACCCTTTCCACATTCCACCAGATTATGTCTGGGTTGATTCCATTGAAAAGAAACGTCGAGTGAAATCCAAGAAAGGGAAGCACAAAAAAACAGACCGAGGGGCGCCAGATGAGTGATGCCTGGTGGAAATGAAAAGGGCAGTTTTGCCTTTTCCAATTAAGAGAGGTAAGAAAAGGTTCGTTTTGCACATACAGGCTCTCATAGGCTTCACTCCTTGTGCTTTGTTGGACATTTTTCCACCTTTAACCACTCACTCACTATGGTGGCAATGACGCTTTTGGGTAGTGTGTCTTAAACTTATGTCATTCGACTGTTGTGATTGAGATACTTTTGGAGTATATTTTCAATTTTTTACACTCTTAGTTCTCTGACTGCCATGGCAATGACATTTTTGGTCCTTCAATCATTGTGACAATGACATTTTTGTCCTCTAACTATTATGGCAAAATTTAAAGACATGTACCAAAAGTGTCAGTCTTAAATTGTCGAACAACTGAAAGTGGAAAAGTTCAAATTTGGATATTAATAAGTGTTTTGTCACGAAAATCCGAAGATTGAATGTAGAAATATTCAAAGATGAGTACTAACAGTGCAATTGACATTGAGAGGATTAAAAGGAATTGTTGTGATGTTATACTCCATAAATTGTTTTGTGTTTATATACTTCAAAGTATATGTTGTATCTACTTCAGAATTCATTAGTTTCATGAAATTACTTTCGATTGTGAACTGTCTTCTTGTGCCCTGATAAACGATTGATCGATGTTTGGGCAAATATGGATGCTAAAAAGTTCTGAAGTTTTGAACAATACTTTTCTTCATTTCCCATCACTAGAGAAAATATATTGACTTGCAAGTCGAGTGTGAGCACAAAGGAAATGTGTGAGAAATATTTTTGTACTTATAGTCAAACTGAAGATGCATGAGTTGAGTCATCTGGTTGGTGTTCATGTAGAGCATGCTGGCCTGGCATGCCCCCTCCCCTCCACAAAAAACAATGGAGTACAAAAAGAAGTTGTAGATCTTCTAGCTTGTTGTAGCAGCTGCCTTGTTTTTGTTTACCAAAAGCTAGGATGTTCAGGTGGGTCTGGTTGTAATAAACACAGCATCACCTGCTTCTATGCTTTCTCTGTCCAACCCATACTCTCATATGAAATGGTGGACTTTTTTGTTGAAAAACTCATTATCACTTAGATAGTTAGATCTATCAAATGACTTAATTTGGTCTAAACCGATTTAACCCTTAATTGAGTACGTATTTTTTGGGTTTGGATGAGCAGCTACTTAATGATGGATAAGATATTCAAACCCTAGGGATGGGCAAATTTTTAAATGAATTAAAAACCTTTGCAAATATGTGCGTCAAGCGACTCAAGCATGCAAAATTATTATATGAATTCTCTTTTACTCTAGCCCCCTCATTCTTTACACTCAATACTAGGGATGGACTGGGATGGGTCGGCCTGACCCGGGCCCGCCACTGTTTAGGCCTGGCCCGGCGGTACCGGGACTGGGACTGGGGCCTGAACCGGGTATAGGGGAGGGCGGGCTACGGGTCTAGAAAATAGGTGACCGGTCGTCCCCCCCCCCCCCCCCCTTTTTTAAAAATGACCGGCCCGACCCGGTCCCGGTAGAAACCCGGGCTGGTACCAGGCCTGCAACCCAATATCCTACTCAATACACCTCGGTGATTTTTAAGCCTCCTACGCTCCAAAACGTGAAGCATCGGCTCATCCCTAGCTTGGTGACCAATACCATGTCAATTCTCTTTTGCCTTTTACGTACTTGAAAAAACTGACTAGGAAAATGGCTTGTCTATATATTCAGACTCGTAGTTGAAAATATTCAATAGATATTAAAAATTATCTAGTTTTCGAGCCCGTTTGGAGAACTCTGTTTTCGGCTTATCAGGCTTATCAGCCAGCTTTTTCACCAAACACGTAACTTTTACTTTCGCGCGCTGAATTGTGTAATAAGCCGAAAAAGTAAGGTTGGAGTTACTTTTCTGGCTGTATTGGCTGAAGTTACTGTAGAGGACCATTTTAGCTATTTTTACATATAATTTTTTCTTTAATTTATTAATAAAATATATTTTTAAAATATTTTTTTCTTAAATCAGCAGAATCAGCCAAAACAGTCACTCCAGCCAGAATATCATAAATTTCAGCAGAATCAGCCAAAACAGCCGATTTTGGTGCTACCAAACGGGCTCTTCATCATCCAGCAAAAACATATCAAACACAAATGTACACGACGTACAAAACAAAGGTTGCCTTAATGAGAAGCCATTGCAAAAATTAAAAATTACTCCTTCCGGTTTTTAATAAACTTCACACTTTCTTTTTTGGGACGGTCTAAAATAAACTTCACACTTCCTTATTTCCATTTTTGGCAAAGAAATCTACATCTAAACAGTGCCAAACAATGTCAAACAGTGTCTCAACAGTGCAAACAGTGTCTCAATGGTGCCAAACAGTGTCAAACAGTGTTTCAACAGTAAAGTCAAATTTATTTCCTTATTTTGTGTGAAGTCAAAGAGTGAAGTTTAATAAAAACAAGAGAGTACTTACAAAAAAGTTACGAATCAATGTACAATTCAAATGAAAGGATGCTTTAAATGAGAAATGGGAACTTTTAACTCATGCCTCGCTATAGTGCACTTTTAAATTGAAATATTATACTTTTCAAGATAATAAAAATGTCGTCTTAGAGTCTGTTTGCAATAGCTTCTGTTTTTAAAAAAGTGCTTTTTTTAGGGTTGGTTTGCAACTGCTTTTAAAAAAGCACTTCTCAGCTTTTGGCTTTAAAAAAGCACTTATTTTCCCAAACACTACAACTTTTATTTTTCTCGGCTTCCGCGTCAAAAGTGCTTTTACTTTTTCTATTACACAAAAATCACTTATTTTACCAAACACTACCCACTTTTACTTTTCAAAATCACTTTTTTTTCAAACACTATCAACTTTTATTTAATCACTTCTCCCCATTTCATAAAAAAAAGCACTTTTTTTAAAAGTAGAAGCTGTTGCAAACAGACCCTTAATGAAATGGGGAGAAGTGGTTAAATAAAAGTTGATAGTGTTTGAGAAAAAAGTGATTTTGAAAAGTAAAAGTCGGTAGTGTTTGGTAAAATAAGTGTTTTTTGTGTAATAGAAAAAGTAAAATCACTTTTGATGCGGAAGCCGAGAAAAATAAAAGTTGTAATGTTTGGGAAAATAAGTGCTATTTTTAAAGCCAAAAGCTGAGAAGTACTTTTTTAAAAGGAGTTGCAAACCAACCCTTATTGTTTGCCAAAAAAAATGTCGTCTTATTCATCAAAGAGCCACCACATCATTGACCCAATCTTCGGAAATCGGAACCACATACACTTTAGAAACAAAATTTTCTCATTAAGATGACCTCCTATTTGATCATATAGGATCCAAGTGGGCAAGTGCCTTTGAATTAAAAAAAAAATAGTACACTTACTACACACTATTTTAATGTTAACATAAGGTTAGTCATTCTTAAACTCGTACCCTAAGTTAATTCATGTGAAGGATTAGTAGACTGTATAAGCGTTTCAAGCCGGCCTCTCTAAAGAGATTCTGGCTGGATATTTTCTTTAATTATATCTTCATTTTTCTTTTATATTTCATATAAACACACCTAAAGGTCCTAAAGGAGTATACTTGGTATGTAGTGGCTGTTCTATCTTTACTAAAATCGAAGTATATGAACTGCAACTTTGACCTTTGATCTGGAACCATAATCACATGATCCCACAGACCTCCTGATCATCATGACTGGGGCCACCGCACTCCGCCCAGTGAGGCTGAGGCACGGCGGCGAAAACCTTCTTAGCTTCTTGATTCGGCGGCGGCACAATAACCTCCACGGCACTGTTCAGTTTCTTCTGCAGAGTCAGCCTCAGCTTCTCTGTTTCCACATTTTCCCCTTTCACAGTCACCAAATTCTTCGTCCTCTCTATGTTTATCCCTTGAAATCCTTCAAAAAGATGTAAAAGTTGAAATCTTTCTTTACAGCTAAGCTACTAGGTATATAATATGCTTGGAATCAAGAATTGAAAAGTTGTAATCTTTTTTTATAATGTTCAATTCAGACATCAGAACCAATAGTAAAAAATACAGGGTATTGATTTTCTGAAAATTCAAATCTTATTAAACATAGTATAAACCAATTGTTGACTGTAATTATACATTCTCTACTCGGGGGATTAAATGATAATTTACCTTTGCTTTTGCTCACAACGTTAAGAACTGTCTTGACACTTCTGTTGCAAGCCAGATTCAATCTGAACTGGGTATTTATAGGCTATATATGTAGAAATAAAAAATTAGACCACCAATTAGAACAATAATGATAATAAAAATTACGGATTACATAAGAAAAGGTGAAATCTTTCTGGGTTAATGAGTTTTACCGTGTCCTCCTCATCAACTACAGAAACGAGATTCACTGTGCTTCCAAGTTTATTCTTCATCTCCTCCAAAATCTTCAAGGGATCAACTTTACCCACAATTGTTATCTCATATATGAACCCATCTCTCTCTATCTTTAAAGATTCAATCTTCTCCAACCCTACATTTACAAACAAAAACAGTCAGTTAAAAACTTCAATTCTGTTCAATATTTTATACTATGATGATGATCTTTAAAGGTACCATGAAGGTTTCCAACACATAGACTAGTTTTCTCCAAAGAGTGATGGTAATCACACACTTCTACATTGAGAACCAGAGTAACTTTTTTGTACTCATGATCATCAGCCTTCCCCTTGCAGCGGAGCATCATTTTTTTTTTTTTTGCAAATGAAGATGAAAGTCTTTACCAGTATATATGCACTCACTTTTATGAGGAATATGCGTATTTATAAATACTGTGTGATGCATGAGCCGTTGATCAAGCAACCCCAGGCTCCGGTTATTATCTTTGGTTTAGTTATAGTTATTTTTGGGTATGCAAGTAGGGACACTAGTATTTCAAGTGTTGGCCGCATTGAGGAAATGTTATGTGAGATTTTACCCAAAGACCAAAGTAGTAATTAAAGACTAATTTTCACTATGCCTCATAATTAAACTTTCAAAGGAATAAAAATATTGTTTCTATACACAGTAATACACGGTAGACTGGTAGAGTTTTAGTACAAATGTTAGAAAAATATAAACGGCATACACATTTTGGTGTACACCTTTCGTACGTTCGTCTGTCTTACGCACAAACAATTGTTTGTCCACAGATAAACTGTAGAGTTGTCTATGGACATACAATTGTTTGTGCGTGAGACAGACGAATATATAAAAAGTGTACACCAAAATGTGTATATCAAGCATTTTTCAAATATAAAAGTAGTACAGTGGAAAGAATCAAATCTAAAGAGAATGTCATTACTAACTAAATATTATACCGAGTAATATATAGATTGACGGAATTGAAATTCCAGTTTTTGATATATGTATTGTGAAATCAAACCCGCATCTACATATTCAGATGTTTTACACAGCTTAATTAATGGACAAAAATGTGATCTCATGTACAAAGTGACTATATTAGTAACTATTAATAGCGATGATTATGTTTGATTTTATGTTGTAATGATCATGGAACTATAGTTTTAGTAACTTTATCATATTCATGTGGTATATTAACTTCGTCACATGAGAAGGGGGTGCTATTATTGCATTGTACTCCATGTGATAGTAAAAAGGGGTTGACTTCATGGTAAAATTCTAACCACCAGGGCCGGTTCTGAGTGGGGCAAGAGGGGTGACCGCCCTAGGCTCGAAAAAAGTAGAAGAAAAAATAGGCCCAATTTTTTTTCTTTATATATAGTGTGAGTAGGCTTCTTTTTTATGCTCAAGTTCAATTAATTAGGCCCAATATTTAATTTTGTTGACAATTTTAAAATTTAAAACATAAATACAAAGCGAAGTTTAAAAAATATATATACATTAATTTTAAGTAGGATTTATTGTAGTTTTTAAGAGCAACATAATTGTTGCTACATCAATAAAAGACACACATCTACAGTCTTCACATCTCTTAGCCTTTAAGGCTTTTTATTCATTTTAATTATAACATAACGAATGCATATAATTATTTTAGTGCCTATGTCTCCAAAATCTCATCTCAATTATTTATTTGTTTCCAAATTTCAATAAACTATATGTGGGTTCATAATAGTAGTTTTAGAGGACGTCAATTTGGCAGTCTTCTTGCGTGAGTCTTCTTGGCGGCCAAACATTTTGTCTCTTTGAAAACCTTCATTATATTCTTTCGAGACTTCAAACTTGAGACTCCCATCAGAGGTCAATAAATCATTCTCAACTTATGAAATCAATATGTAGTGATATTTCTTTTCATTTGTTTAACCTTTCAAAAGAAAGTTTAGTACGCGCTGTTATATGTGACAATTTTATTGTTTATCACATTTATTAGTATAAAGAACGTTGTCTATGAAGCGATTATTGATGATTTGCTTCACATTGTTCTACTATAAATGTTTTATGTAATGTTTTTTTCTTTCCATTCGAAACTCGTGCTATTACTTTTGCCCAAATGTGGGGGGTGCTTGGAACTGATTTTGCTTCTACTTCTTTTCTAAAGTACAATCGGAATCAGTTTTTAGAAGTTGGTCTCCCTAGCTTCTAAAAGAAGTGCGTCTAGAAGTAAATTAGAGCACGAGAAGTACTTCTGCACTTTCATCCAAACATTCGAACTTCTGCTTTTGTTTCCTGACGAAGCAGATCCATACACCCCATATGTAACTTAAATAATAAAAAAGTGATTCTCACCTTTATTTTATAAACTTCATTAGATACTTTTATTCTAATTCATATTTCAGATAAGTACATGGTTTACTGTTTGTTTTTTATATAGGCCCAGAATAGTGTTACGCCCATAGGCCCAGAAATATACAGGACTGGCCCTGCTAACCACATATTCATTATTTGTTCAAATATAAAAAAGAAAAAAGTCATCTTCCATGAGCATGGGGCTTGAGATCCTATGATTCTAATCATGTCAAAGATGCATCGATAACTTAGTTAAAAGAGAGGGTGATTTTTAACTAATAAGTTCGAAATTATTTCGTTGGGCAAGTAAAAGTGCAACCTTGATCTAGCATGTTTAACACTAACTTCTTTATGATTATGTATATCGTTTGAAAAACTGACTTCTATATTTTGGAAACTGCATCCGGCAGGGGTAGGCTTGGACTCGGGCCGGGTCCGGGTCGGGCCTAGGCCCGGCGGGCTTTTGAAGGTTGGGGTGAAGACCCGGAACCGGCCCGGGTTACCACCGGTTTTATTTGTTTTTTATTATTATTTCATCCCCTACCCCCATCCCCCAAACCCATCGGAAACACCCAGCCCAGCCCATCTAAACCCAGCCCAAACAAAAATAAAATAAAAAATAAATAAAATGGCCCGAACCGGGCCCGGAACCAGTCGGGCCGTTCACCTTTCCCTAAGCCCGTACCCGCGCCCGGATACTCCAAAAACTGGGTCATGACCCGGAACCGGTACCCGGTTTCCCGGGCCGGGCCCAAGCAGTGCCGGTCCGGTTCCCAGGCCGGGTGGCCCGAACCGGGTCCAAGCCAAGGCAGGGGTTAAAAAAGTACTAGAACTAAAAAATGGAATGGAAGGAAAGGTTAACGTACAAAACATATGAAACTAATTTGACATCAACGAATTAAACTGCATTGGACGTCATCCAGCCATCCAGCCTCCCTCACTCAGGGCACTATTGAGGAAAGTAATTTGGGGTTGATTAGCTTGTAGAATGATGTCGGGCCTAGCTTACCAAAAACCCAAGCCTAACTATCAAGGCTTGCAAGTAACAAAGTTCAACACTGCTGCAGCTTATGATTTTTGAGACGTAAAGTACAAATGTCTATGTGGCCTAAAACTGTTTCGAACAACAATTGTGTACTCCTAAACACTCCTTTATAACAAACAAGCTATCAAGAGAATCGTAATGGTAAAGGGGTTCGGGTGTGAGCTTGTGAGCCACAAATCTTGGCCATCGCGTCTCAGTTTGGTAGCCAAGGAACATGATCATCATTGGGAACTCTCAGGTCTAGACAAATGTTTTTTCCCACTGCCCACATCTTTCAGCTAATGAGTATTGACTTGCTACATCAGATGGTTGTAAGTTGGGCTGTTTAGTCGGGTCTGTTGTACTAAATGTTCTTTGAGCATTCATGGAAACGAGTCTGGAGTCGCGTTATGGGAACCAAAACTAATACATTCTCCGCTATAAGATTATGGAAAGCATAAAAGAACACCATCAAGTGAAACATAAGCACCCGATTTTATTGAATCTTGACATATATTAGCTAATAAAGGCAGTAAAGTAAAATCAATTGACCGTATTTGATCACATCAATTAGTCATATCACTCTCCTAAATCTTCTACTGAAATGTTGTTTTATCAAAATAATCATACATTGTGTGCTGAGTGATCGGAAGTAATCCTCAAAGAAGATTTTATACTGATGATTATGTTTTGAGGAGATGACACAAATGATTTGCAAAGATTTACCAGACATTTGTCAGAGGAATCTGAAGTGGCTCAACCTAAGAAAGGCACAATTATCTACTGTATGCACAAAGCTTATAAATGGACACTTTTGTACACAGGGTCATGCAACTTTAGCTTATACATAGCTACTAAAAATCTAAAATGGACAGTGTTGTACACATATTAAGCTACTTCTCTGGCGAGGAAGAAAATGCAGGCGTCATTGTGCATGTTCTTTAAACAGAATGAAAAACCAAGTACTAGTCATCAAGTTTATGAATTGACAACTCATCTGCCAGAGTCACCACATCATAACATTTGCGTTTGTGGATGAGGGCCCTGAGGGAGGCTGGCTGGCTGGCTGGCTGGATGCCGTGAATTTGCCCCAGAGTCAACCTCAGGGCACAAGAGAGAACTCTCGCTCCTAACCTTGCTATCACACAGTTACTTTCCTTCGCGCCCGCAACCTCACCCGACAGCTCACATAGTTTCTGTGTTGTGCCGCTAACAGGTAAATGCTTGAGCTTCTGGTCCACAAAGAAGCTTCTGGTCTTAGCCAACACAAGAGAGAACTCTCGCCTTGCGACTTTCTATGCTCTACATGCGCGCCACGCTTAGATCCTGGATGAGGGCTTCAAGAGGAGTAGACGCTGCTCTCTCTAACGGTGTCGCTTGCCCCAAACCCCACATAGTCGGTGTATTCTTCAATTGGCCCTCTGGTTTTGATGCGATTCAGTCCATCAAACCTTCCTGCTATCTGTAATTCGGTCAACAGATAAAGGCTTGTGATTCAGAATCTGGAACTAAACTTCTGGAACACCACCAAGGAGGCTTGCAGTTATGGTGAAGGCAGGGCCAGTTTCCAGACAGATTCATCGCCTCCTCCATTTTTCTCAGGAACACCACCAGTCAGGGCTTCTAATCCGCTAATTTAAGATGCACAATTTGGGCATGATATTTTTGACCCGTTAACACAAACTCTAGAAGCTATAGCACCACTGTCAGTCTACCACCATCATCTCCACCACCACTACCCTCGCAAGGAGGGTGTGGTATAAACCAGCTCCTGTGAGGATTGAAGGCTTCAACTGTAGAAGGAACTGCAACATCTCTGTTGTAGCCTAGAAGAATGGTTGCAGAACAAGTTATAGATTTTTTGGAGGTGAGAAATCAAAAGAACCTAAAAGTAAACCACTTAGTTTTAGCTTGTGATGCATATATAGCGAGATGAGAGTCATTGACAATTAAAATGAGTTTTTCATTGAAGAGTCAGGGTCTTGATGTGCATATGTAATGATGTAATGATGA